ATGCCATGAAAAGAGCCTGCCAATGCCTTCCAAACAATCCTATTTATCACTTGAAAACTCAGGCGATGTGGCTGGAATTGATGAGCCTCTTTACTCTATGATTTCCATCCCTACCTTCCCTCCCTAATACTGTACACAGAAGTGGGTGAGTGTAACTCCTGGCAAATGAACAGACAGGAGTGTCAAATCCCAGGACCGGCTACTATCCCCTCACCTCCATTCCCCTGTCCCAGAATCATAGAGACTTTGAAACTTATGTGTTTTCCTATAATCTTTACCATGTGCACTCATTTCTACCCGTCCTTTCATAATTGAGTAGTGAAGAAGATAATTTATAAACACTCATGCCTCCACGGCTCCAAAAAAAAAATTCAAAGTTCCAAAGAGACATAGAGGCAGAAAGTATTTAAGCATAACCAGGGGGTGGGAGTAGAAAGCTGCAGGCCTCAGAAGGAATTTACTTGAGACTACGTGGGCTCTGCCTCTACAAAGTCCAGCTGCTGTGAACTATTCATTTGTTGGCAGAATTTGCACTGAGTCCATGGGACAAACATTTACTTTCTAGAAGTTTCCCTGGATTATCTCTTCAGGCTTTATCATCCATTTATAAGATTAAAAATCATATCACATAAAACTTGGCTCTAGAAATGTGAAACTAACCAATGTTGTTTTTCAAAAGTTCTCTGAAAAATAAAATGGATTATGCAGGAAAATTTTATAAATGGAAAATATTGCATATACAGAGTTTGAGGCAATCTAGGACATTTTAAGCCAGAAAGCAGATGGAATAACAGCAATATAAATTACTGTAACTGTATTTTGCCAACTGCAAAGTGACTCTAACGCCAAACAGAACTTCTTCTCCCCAACTTGTTGACTGCATACATATTTGTTTTTAATTTACACTTGATAGAGTTTGGTGAGATGTTTGGAGTTTGAATGATAGAATCTACAGGTCTAGGGAACACCAAATCTAGCCAAACCACCCACAAAGTATCCAATTAAGGAAACAAGCACATAATGTACAAAAAGGTGTTTTAAGTGAAAAATAATATTCACGCACGTTATGTAAGTCAATTAACAAAAACTGTGCCTGTGGCAATTTTTAAGGAATGTCTTACAAATAGGAAGTACATTAAATACTGAACAGAAGGACAAAACTTCATCAGCAGTCCTTCCTGGCCTTGGTGCTCTCAACATGATCTCCAGCCTGTCCCTTAGATGTCTTGGCAGCTTCCTAAAGGAAGAGTCTTGGCCTGTGGTCTTCAGACTCAGAGAAAGTTTTAATCCTGACTCAGTTCACTCTAGGCCATCAATTCGGGGCTCAGTAATTTTTGTCCAAACTACCCTGACTGGAGTCAACCAATGCAGTCCTAGGAGAAGCTAACCAGCTAATTTTCAAAGGAGGAGGGAGAGGTTGACACAGATTTTTCACTGCAGTGCAAACTGTAGTAAAGGGACAACCTGATGACTTCTTGGTGAATCTTTCTCTGCTCCATATTCCAGTAAGGTGCTGGGGCCTTGAGCCATTTCCTTGGGCTAGATTTGAGCTAGGATGCGATTTCATCAGCAGGCTATTTTTAACCAAGGCAGTCTAGAAACCAGCCTCAGGGGCCTTGTGCTGAGATAAATTCACACAAATCACTCCCCGACCCACTGACCAGCAAGACTCCTGTTTGGGCAAGAAATCTTGCTCCATAGCCTAAATTATGACAGCCTTGAATTTTCAAAGCCCAGATTTTCAATGACAAGCCACTTTAGAGTCTGGATGATAAGAATGGAATGAAGATTTCCTCTGCATCTGCAGTCTCTCCTCCCAACCACATAAATATAGGGTAGCACAGAACTGCATATTCATGATAAAACAAACAGGCACTACAAGGTATTTGCTGCATTCTTACATTTTTTTTTAATAGGCAAGACCTCTTTACTCTTTACTCTTTTACCTCTGCCCCTTGCCCAGTTTCAGACCTCATGCACTGCCACTATCAGGTAGAAAGGCTCAGGAATCAGCATCTGGAAATATGTTAATTTTGCATGAAAATGGAGGATGATAGCAGAAATTACAAAGAGACTACACACTAGAAGCATCTGTTCATTACAGCATTTTAACGTGCAATTATGGAAGAGCATGAAGCAGGGTGGATGAGGAGGAGGGTGCCCAGGGAAGGCACCCTCCACCCCAGATGTGAAGAGGGCAGGCAACTTTGGAGGGATCTGGGAGAGACAAACCAGGGAAATGAAACTGGCTTAACTCACTCAGATGTGGAAGAGCACATGCCCTGATATCACAGGCAAGGTGAGAGGAATTAGAACTCCCCGTCCCTAGGAAGCACAGCTTCAGCCTTCATTCCGATCTCTACAGCAGTGAGAAAAGATGCAAGGACTATTCTTCTGGAATCCCAGGAAGACTGGAAAGACAGCACATCTGACCCAGTACCCATGTGCAAAAACTCGGTCTGTGCCAAGCAAATGCAAAGATGCAGACTTTCATACAATCATACACTGTGATCATTTATCCAACACAATGGCATAGTTTGCCATAGGCCTCTGCCCTTCAGAACTCAACCAGTCTCTTGGCAGCTGCTTCTAGAATAGGGATTGGGGGTGCAGTCCACCATGAGAGCTTTTAGGCTACTGGGCAACTTCAGGCACCTCATGGCTTCTCCTTCTGAGACAATTCCCACCACAACAAACCTGTATGCCTACGGGAGTGGCGAAGGTAACCACCATCCCAGAAATAAATGGTGCATACCATTGGGGTTAAACCCAGTGCTGAAGATTTGTAAATTCCATTTCCTGCAAAGTTTCTGGGGGAGAAAAGTGGGTGGGGCTGTAGAGTGCAAACATGACAACATTCATGTACCTCAGAGGACAGTGGAAAGAAATGGCTGATAAAAATTATTACAAATCACTTCACACACATAAAGTGCTTTATAATAAACATTAATACTTTAATTCCACACTGCTCGTTTCTAGATTTTAAGAGTCAAGCTGAAAGAGTAAAAGTAGTAAGCTTCATATTCTGTCGTTTTCTAGTTTTAAGCAAAGGAAGAAAGGAAGGAAAGAGAAAGAAAGCCTGAGAAGTCAACTTTTCAGTTGCTTCTTATGTAACAGGAGCCTGTGAACTGCACCAGAAATTAATTGAAGGAAAAGTAACTGTAGGGGAATTGCTTGGAGAACTGCCAGAAGGGTTTTAACAGCTGGAAGTTGAAAAGTGATTAATTTTGACAGCAATAAAAGCCTCATGTTCATACATAATTATGCTTAGATTTGTGGGCTGCTGGAATTTTTTTCTATGCACTATTAACCTTTTGCTGTCCAAATTGGAATTTAGATACTTTAAATGAGTCTTGATTTTTAAACTGAATAATAATTTGCTTTCCAAGGCATTGACTCATCTCAAGACATGGAAGGCTTCAGGGGAAACACAGGAGAATAACATGCAGGTAGGAAATAGCTTCACATATCCTTCTGAGTATTTTTGAAACTTAATAGAAATAAAGGCATCTCATTTTGCCCTATGCAGGAACAACAACAACAGCAACAACAATAAAGCATTGAGGAAAAAGCATTCAGAACAAACAGGACAAGATACTGAAGCAGTGGTATGTTGTCAACTCTACAGTTCAGCTGAATTCATAGCACTAGGAAATAGAGACAAAACTGTAAGAAGATATTCATTATGGTTTAAAGGTCCCCTCTAAAATTCATGTTGAAAACTTAATCCCGAATGTGGCAGTATTGAGAGGTGACGCCTTTAAAAGGTGATCGGACCATGAGGGTAGAGCCATTCGTGGATTAATGGATTTTCAGGTTAATGGAATAATGGGTTATTACAGGAGTGGGACTGGTGGTTTTATAAAAAGAGAAAGAGAGACATGAGCCAGCGTGCTCAGCTCCTTCACCATGTGATGCCCTATGCCACCTTGGAACTCTGCAGGGTCTCAGCAAGAAGGCTGTCATAAGATATGACCCTTCAACCTTGGACTTCCCCACCTTCGGAACTATAAAAAATTAATTGTGTTTCTTATAAATTATCCAGTCTCAGGTATTCTCTTATGAGCAAAAGAAAGTGGACTAAGACAATATTATAATGCTACATTCAAAAATATTGACTAGCATAGGATTAAACTGAGTTATAGAACTGCAGTATGGCTAATTAGCTATAAAAGCTTAGACACATCGCTTAATTTCTCTGTGACTTCTCTGTTTCCTACATAGGAAGAGAGGCTGGAGGAGATAATTTAGAATATCACGCTCACTCTAATATCCAATTATTTTAAATCATCTGTTTTGGGATTAGCCATATTCTGACTTTTTTTTCTCTTAGACACCTTTACTATTCTTGTATCAACCAGTTTGACCAGATAGAGTGAAATCTTGGTAATATAAAATATTTTCAAAATAATTAGAAATAGTTAATATTTAGTCACAATAATAGCAGTTTGCAAAGCACTATTCTAGGAACTTTATAAATATTTGACATATATACCTATATAGCTATAATATTGTATGTCAATCCTCACAACCATCATATCAGACAGGATTGTCATCCTATTATTACAATTATTATTATTTTTCCCACTTTACAGAAACTGAAACAGTAGAGTGGTTACATGACTTCCCAAAGTCAATTGATACCAAGTGGGAGTGCAAAGATTTGGGGAGTTTCCTATTATTCCTAAGAAAATATATGTTATTGTAGACATAGTAAATTTATGTCACGAATGGTGGAACAGAAATAAGAACAATGAACCTGAACTCAAAAGAACTAGATTTAGCCTTGGCCCTTTCATTTTCTGCACTGTTACCTTGAACAGTTCATCAACTTTTCCATTCCAGCTTCCTTACTGGTAAAGTACAGGAGTCCTCTAATTCAGAGGCTCTCAAGATGAGGTAGCCAAACCAGTGGCATCACTATGCCCTATGGTTAGCAATGCAAATTCTTGGATCCAACCCAATTAAGTTATTAATTCTCGGATAGGCCCAAGACCTACCAAATTATAGGTTGTAGGCATAGGGTCCAGCAGTCTCTATTTTGACAAGCCCACCAGGTGATCACAATGCATGCTAATGTTTGGGAACCGGTGGTCTAGGTGATCACTAAATTACCTTCCGATTCTCACATTCTCTGATTCCATCTCTGACTGCCTGGTTTCAGGTCGTCGAATTTCAAACTAATGTGGTTCTGCTCTATTTAAATACCTCTTTCCTGATTATTTGTGCCAGAGGATGGGATACCTAATGTTGGCTCACTGGAATGATTTTTTCTTTAGTCATCATCAGAACATTACAGAAGAATGAGGTTACTGTGAATGTTTTGTTACCTCAAGCAAAAGTGTAAGATTGAATTCCAAAGCTGGAACCTCAACAGAATCTGAGTTCTTAATCCAACACCATGCCCCACATGGGGGCTTAATAAATCCTTGTGGCTGCCTGAGGCAAACGACATCCAAGCTAAGATTAGCAGCCTGGAGGAGTTGGCATGTGTTTGCTCCCATATTCCCAAATGTGCCAGAATCAGACCTGCCTGTCTCCTCCAAGTCAAGAGGGCAGCACCCACAGATAGAATGTCCTATTTACCTCTTAATTTAACGCTCCCATTGCCATAGTGTTACCTGACAAACACATACAACTCACTTGAAATCAGAAGCCCGGACAAACAAACAATTCCAAAGGTATTCAAATTTATTTGAGACCCGATTTTAAATGGGCCTTCCTCTTGTTCTCTTTCAGTAACCACCTGCTCTTCAGCAGTGGCAGAGGAATACCTCCAAGTTTCAGGGCCAACCATGATATGAATGCCCAATGCCTCATACTTAATAAACCCTCCTGTAAAAGCAAAACACCAGGTGACTTCATACCCTGATATACAATACTATAAACAGTAGAAGAGCAAAGACTGGTGTCTGCTTCCTTTGTATTTCTCTCGACACCTCATTAACATAAACCATTGTTTGTTGGTTTTCTTAAAAAGATACAACTAGAAGAAAGAGGCAGAAATGCAAACTCCATCAGATTTCAAAACTTTCTGAGAAAAAAATAGAAACTTAGGAAGGAATAATATAATTATTATTCCTTTTATATAAAGGAATAATATAAAGGAATAATATAGAGGAAAGATGGGCACATAAAGAAATGGTAGGAGTTATAGTTATGAAGGTGGAGTTTCACTCCTTAGAGCCAAGTAAGTCTAAGACACATGTGGAATAGCTCTACTCTTTTGTTTTATGTGAGTGGAAAGCCATAAATATTTATTCTAGGCCATCCCAGAGACTAACAATTTTACATTTGGCCACGATAAATATGAGAAGGGCTAAAAAGGTTTACAAACCATTTCCCAATCCGAGTTTACTTCAAATGATGTGTTAAAAAATGCATTACATTCTTTTATTAAAAATAGGTGTAATTTTCCAACTTGATACCTGTATATTGTGATAGCTGCAAAAAGAAGTCAAGCTGACATTTTGGGATTTATTCTGGACTATCATGCACAGTCTATTAAGTAGGTGCTATTATTGTCTCTATCTTACAGATGGAGAAACTGAGGCACAGAGAGGCTAACACAGCCAACGTCTCAAAATTAACTAGCAAATAAAATAACTTAGATTCAAAACAGCAACTCTGTCTCCAGAGTTTATGCTCCTTGATAGTCACATCACTCTTGTTTTATTTATTCTAGATATCACTTAGGAATGCTTTGGTGGCAAGTAACAGAAAACCCAACTGAGAGTGACTCTTAAAAATAGGAATTCATGTGGTCAGGTGTGGTAGTTCACACCTGTTATCCAGCACTTTGGAAGGCCAAGATTGGCAGATCACCTGAGGTCAGGAGCTGGGGAGCAGCCTGACCAACATGGGGAAACCCTGTCTTTACTAAAAATAGAAAAATTAGCCAGGCATAGTGGTGCATGCCTGTAATCCCAGCAACTTCAGAGGCTGAGGCAGGAGAATTGTTTGAAGCCAGAAGGTGGAGGTTACAGTGAGCTGAGATTGTACCACTGCACTCCAGCCTGGATGACAGAGGGAGACTCCATCTCAAACAAAAAAAAAAAAAAGTAGGAATTCATTTTTCTCACTGAGCAGCAAGTATGGAGAAAAGCAACTGCTGGGGGGTTCAGTTGCTCTCTATGCCCTCAGGGACCCAGGTACTCTCAATTCCACTGATTCATCATCTTAGAATCCTCATGCCTACCATGTCATGGTCCTTGCTGTTTTAGATGGTACCTCCCCATTCCAGGGAGGTAGAAGGTGTAGGAGAAAAATGCGTTCTTGGGGGATTTTGTCTTTTTCCATTTGGGAAACTACACTCACCTCACTGGACTGTCCTTTACATCTCACTGGCAGCCAAAACAGGATCACACCCTCATCCTTCACCCAACGAAAGGCCAAGCAAAGTGAGATGATGGTTACTGGTTTTAACTAATCATGCTTTATATTGGGGGCCTGGAAAGAAGGCTGAAAGTAATGAGCCTATACCCAGCTCCTGAATAAATTAGACCTTTTTTTAGTGAGAAAGGAGAGTGGGCAGGAAGGGGAATGAGTGTTGGATGACAATAGACAGTGTCTGCCACACTCCCCTACTTTGGATTTTTGGTTGCTCTTCATTGTTCAATACCCGATTCCCTTGAACTGTGGGAAGGCACTGTGCTAGGAAGTGGGAATAAAGACAAAACCATAATCTCTATATGGTTATAAATTACTGAAAGGCTTCATTTGAGAGAACCTATTGCATACCCAATTTTAAACAAAGAGGTGAAAGAACTTAAGTGACATATGGCTGAGTTGGCAAATGGCTGTCAAGAGAATCCAAGAGGCCTGACTTTGGCTATGAGTACACAACAGGTGAGACAAAACAAGCCCCAAGGTACTAAGACTGTAAAATGACAGAAAGGATAAGCCTTGTGTACGTGCTTAAAAATAGAGTGTACATTCAGTATTCTCATAGCATTAAGCACACAGAGTTGGTTTATACCCACAAGTAACCATAGTATAAACTGAATTTCTCCAGGCCTTCCCTGCTGCTGCATATAGATAGAATCATGCAAAAGTAATGACTCAAACTTCCCTGGCACATGTCTCTACCAGCCTCTGCTTTGTGTTTCTGGGAGTCCCCAAGAAGTCCAGAAAAGTGCATACAAACAATCCCCATCCCACTGGGGTTGCCCCTGCTCTGGCTTGACCCAGTGCTACATAATGGCTTGGATCAGAGCTGGAGGAGCAACCCTCTCTCCTTCATGCACCCACTGTCTCAAGGGTCTGAAAACAGTGCAGCTAGCACCTCCTCTCCGTAGGACCCAAACATGTGGCCACAGGGCTGGGCTGGGCACAGATTCAAGTGATAGTGACTGTGATCAACTCAGTATCTCTTCTCTTTCTCAAATATCATAGTTTACCATTGCATCAAATCATCTTGTCTGGCTCTTTCTTCCCTTAGGACAACTGACTAATCATCTCTGTCCTAGGAACTTATTCTTAGGAAATAGCCAAACACATGGCCAAAAATATGCATAAAGAGTCAATTACAGAGCTCTTGATAATGGTTAAGAAAAAAAAAAACACCTAAATTTTATCAGTAGGAGACTGGTTAAATTAATTACAGCATATTCATTTTGAAAAATAATAAGCATTCATTTAAAATGATGAGGTACATCTACATTTACTGACGAGGGAAGATATGATATAAGGTTGAACTGGGAAGAAAGTATGATCTCATTTTTATAAAAATATAAGTAAACACATGCTCACATGAATGTATGTGCATTAATGTGTGCACACACAAAAAAAATAGAAGTTATCTTTGGACAACAAGAGAAGGGTATTTTTGCTGTTTTCTTTATATCTTTCTGAAAAACAGGAATATTTTTACAAGAAGTGTGAATTGCTTTCATAATCATAAAAAGATAAAGCCATACCTACTTTGAAATATAATTATTTTAATAAAATAGGCTTTAGTAATTGATCCATTCTTTAGGGTGAAATTGTGGAGGGGTATAAAATCTCCATTTAGCGATATCATTTAATAGAAGGACGGTCTAGTCATTTACTGGAAATTCCTGGGTAATGTGTAGGAAAACCAGCCTTGACAGAAAGATGATTGGTACTGGACAGCTCCTGAAAAATACAGTGAGTCTGGGGAGCAGTGCAGTGCCCCAACAGTGCTGTTCCTGGAAGCCCGAGAAATCACAATTTCTGGGGGAAAAGAAAAGTATGCAGAGCTAAGCAAACACATGGGCTGCTGTATTTTGTGGTTGCCTCTTTTTAGCTTTGGCTCATTTTTTCAATTGGTTATTTTTTTCTAACTGATTAGTAAAAGCTCAAAGCTTAACAACACCTGGCATTTATGTCACATTTTTTCCCCTCTATTTGTTTGCCTTTCAAGATTTTTGTGAAATTTTACGACACATAGAAGTTCTCATTGTTTGTGAGATCAACTATAACAGTCATGTTTTCTTTAATGATTCTTGGCTTTGGTATCTTGCTTGGAAATGATTTTTCTACCCCCAAAAACATCAAAATTATTCATTCATATTTTATTTAACCTATACATTTTTATCTTTTATAATTGTTAAAAGGAAAATTATAGACAAATTAAATTTAACAGAGTTTAATTGAGCAAAGAACGGTTTGCAAATAGGCACCTCCCCCACCACCAGAATAGACTCAGAGACACTCCAGCACTGCATGTGATCAAAGAGAATTTACAGACAGAATTAAAAAGTGATGCCAGAAACAGCCTGATTGGTTACAGCTCTGTGTTTGCCTTATTTGAACCTGGTATGAACTATCAGCTGCCTTTCGTTGGCTAAAGCTTGGTGATTTGTACAAGAGTAGGTTGCAGTCTGTTTACACATCCAGCTGGGTTTCAGTTCACTACGTATGGAGGAAACTTTAGGCCAAAAGTCTCATAGGTAAGGAGACAGCTTTGAGCTAAACTTAATTTAACATAATTATTAATTGATTGAATGTGTGTGTGTGTGTGTGTCATGTATGAGGTAGTGATATAAATGGTTTGTACCAATTGGTTGATCATTCTTCCCAACACCATTTATAGATTTATCCAGTCTTTTTTTTTAACTGATTAGAAATAATATTCTTATTGTATACCAAAACAACACAAATACACAAGTGTACGTACATAGCCTTGGGTATGTTCTGGCTTATATTGTTGAGTTCCATTAGCCCGCCTTCCTATTCCTGAGCTGATACTATATACATTATAATCATCATGAATTTAAGACGGGTTTAATTTTATGATAAGGCAAAAAGACACCCTCATTA